AAAGCAAGGTGATAACAAGCATGAAGAGTCTTCTCTGGCCTGTTTGAATGGTTGCGTATTTGCAGCTCTTGCGGCTGTCTATGATTCTAGTTTGTTGGCTATGACTACATGGATGCTGCTGACCCTTGCTACCGTATATTTCACAGTTGCCATATTGTCTCAGGCAGTTTTCCTTGTTCGCGTGGCGGCTCTTGCTCTGAGTGCCGTCTTGTTGAACCTTGCTTTACGCACAGTTGTTTCTTCCCCTGTGGCTGCTTATAATCCCTATAATATAACCCATTATAGTAGTTTCCATTTTATTGTCCATTATCCCTATATATAACCCCAATATACTTTAGTATGCCTAACTGCAAGTCTTAACCTTGCCGCTGCGCCTGGTCGTGGCATTTGCCACATTTATAAGGTCTAGGGTTTAGGCTGCAATCACTTTTACGACCTCACGCGCTTTATTTCCAATATCACTATTGTTTAGCACCATGTTTTTGCTTGTTGCCCTGGCTTCCTCTACTTCTCCCAAGCACCAAACGATAGTGTTTTGGAAGATGATTTGATGTTGATAGCTTTGTGGGCATCGACTCTGCTGGCAGGGCGAGTTCTTTGGGGCGTGTACAGGGGGCTCAACGTTAGTTTGCCCCAACGTGTCTTCCAGGCTTACTGCAGAGAAAAAAACGAACCTAACGGAACATGTTCGGTAGTTGTCCTGAGTAACCCTAAGGGTCCAAGTACCTAATAATCATATACTTACCAAAATCCTGTACTATAATCACTATTACATACTATTACCTAGTTCCCAAGTACCTAATTATTGGGCTCTGGGCAAGGACAACATTACGATGACGCGAGAGGAGGTGTTGTAATCATCTTTCAAGCTCCGACAGCTTGGAAAACCGTGAAGGGCAGGCAGTTCTCAGGGCGCTAGTCTCCCAGAAGCCTTCAAAGCCATCCCCCTGAGTTGTGGGACTAGGGGATGAAGTTGTTAAAGTTTCTATATGGAGAACTCCAAAAAATGTGGAGGGGGGCCCTGATAGAGATAAAGGCAAACTGGGTGGGATCTTTAATTTGCTGGCAGCGCCCAGATGGCAAGATTCACTCTCGAACCCTACCATATTAGTATTTGCATGTGATCAAGTCGACAATAGGTCTGAGAAGACACCGGCTGCAGGATTGTTGCTGCAGTTACAGAGCTTGAAGCAAGTTAGCACAATCTGGGTGAATGGTCAGATAAACGGTAAACCATAGGGATTTCTCGCAACAGCCTTGGCTTGAGTTCCTTGAAACTCTGTATGTCTCCTATAAGACCCCCGCATCCATACCATATTCCATACTGATTTGCATCTAACCCTAGACCCCATATAAATACTGCTGCTACGGCTAATGCTAGTGCTAGTGCTACTGCTGCTACTACAACAACATCAGCAACTACTACTGCTACTACTACTACTACTACTACTACTGCTACGACTACGACTACTACTACTACTACTACTACTACTACTAGGCGTCGCGATGCTAATTGATCGCAGGGGTCTTGGGCTTGCACAGTCTTCCGAAAAGTTGCAAAAGAATTGCGTTCTACAGTACTTCGTCGGCATTGACTGGTTGAGGCTGTGCAAACTTGAGGGTCAAAAAAATCCGGGAAACTACTTGTGGGTTGATTTATCAGGATGATAATCGATCGGTCTTTTGCGGCTTTGCAAGTTGGGTAGAATTTGGCAAAATGTTTTGACGTGCTGTGAATTACAGGACTTCGTGCACTTCTATAATGTTCGGACTGCTCGTCTGAAGCGTTAAGGGGTTCATGGAAAGGCGCAAAAGCTAGTAAGTAGTTTTGGCCGTTTTTACGCGTTGCTGTCCCTGATGAGAACCGCATCTTTTGCAGAAGAGCGCCGGACTTTTTTGCTATCACCTGCGTCTGTTTCGCAGGAGTGACAACCTAAGGCTGTGCTACTTCTCCTTGATGACCACTGGCAAGGTTTGAAAGAGGGACATGTCGAAGCGCTTCCTGCCCCGCCCTATCTGGCTCATTCTGCGCCAGCCATTGCATACCAAGAACATCAAGTACAAGGAAGCTTTGCGTAACCAGTGTTCGAAAGATACCTTTTACTTACTGCGGTAACCTGGGACTTGCAGCAAACAGCGTCAGCAAATGCAATGAAGATAAGACTTTGCCATTGGATTCAAGACAAAACCGTTAATTCTGGACTCACTTTAATCTTAGCCCCCCCTAACCATAGGGCCCCCGGAAAAATTAGACGTCCTGAATAAGGGTCCCACGGTGCTGAGGGCCCCGGGAGGCCATGAAGATTATGTTAAAAGGGATGGTCTGGATTCGGTCCCGCATTTTTAGGGCCCCAAAACCGAAACACATTAAACAGGACCTTCCCAGCAATGGCCAGATCCTGAATAAGCGGCGGCGAAAGGACATTAAAGAAGGCCTCTACACTACAGTGATTGCAACGTTATTACCTTCTCACGTCACGATAATGACATGTGCAGCAACCAGCAGCAGCAAAAGCAATAATGATCACATGTGACCATGCAATTCAAGATAAAACGAACGTAATTACCCCCCCCCCCACACCCCCTCAAT